GTGAGAAATCACACCCCCCCCTCCACGGGGGACTGCCACTCCACAATCCCTTCTCCTCCATTCTCCTCTTGGAATCTTGGGCACACATGCACATACACCTGGCGTGAGTTTAAACCACCAGGTCCAGAATTCAAACTGCAGTCGACAACATGGGAGTCCAGTGACATAGCCATTATGCCAACTGCTGGTCCCTCCACTGTTTTTCATCTTAATTTGCTAGAGTAGTATCAGTTTGGGGTACAATGAGCACTGTGGAAGAGCCCTTGCAGGAGGTTGTGATGAATAAATGCTTTATTTTGATCGAGCACATTTCTTTTTTCCTGGAGCTCAATGCAGTGATGAGTAGCTGTTGGGTAAGTAGCTGTGTGGGGAAGAGGATGGGGTGGAATAGAGCCAAAATTTAGATTAATGTGCTCATTAGGAAAGCAACACATATGTTCATTCTGTAAGTATTTAGTTCCTGTGTTAAATTTTTCTGAAGCTAATAATTTATCCTGTCATCTAATAATGTTATTTAGTAAAAGCAGTGTTATTAATAATGTAGTAAACAGTTCTTTAGCACATTGTTTGCCCAGTATTGTGACAGGTGGTAGTACAACAGTGAATGAGGTATTTCTTTGTAGATCTTGCAGTCCAGTGAGAATTCAGACAGCAAATACGATGCAGTAAGTGGAGTGTTACAATGTTGGTGAGTACAGGGGCCATGGGAGCACATGGTTAAGACCTCTCACCTGCCTTGGGGAAATTTAGAATCTGAGTAACTAGGGCTTGATCTGGAGGCCTGGTGGTTAAAGGAGCCAGTTCCTACATGGATAACTGTGCAGTCTGAGTCCTGGGGCTGGCAGCCTGAAAAATGTTCTATGTGCTTAAAAAATGTGCCTGGGTGCCCAACGTCCCAATAGGGTAGAAAAAAGAAGGCATTATAGTATGACCATCTTTCATTGGAACATTCTCTCTCTCTCTCTCTTTCTCATGCGCACACGCTTGCTCTTTCTCTCTGGCATGCATGTGCATCCTTAGAAAAAAGACACTAAGAAGTAGGGTCAAACATAGTATTCTTAGGCACAAGTGGCATGGAGAGGCATGGCGGCATTACTAGGAAGAAAAGCACACTTACATCGACTTGTCTCTGTCAGAAACGCTGGCCAGCTATGGAGACAAATCTGATGAGGGAAGTTGCTGCATGAATTTGCAGACCACCTAGTGACTCTTTCTGGGAAAAGATAACCCAAATTATGTAAACATAAAAACCTCTGAACTCTCAGTGAAATGAGTGATTTTATATCTAGGTCCTTTGGTAAATATATGGTGGTGTCCACTTTTTATCGTCACTGCTATTATTTTATGAGCATTACGGCTCATTTTCCAATGGCTCAGAAAATAAATAAGCAGCTGTCAAGGCAGTTAATGACTAGGTATTTACCACAGTATTTTGTTCCAACACATTCAAACTCTCAGCCTACACAACCAACCAGGGCATAGAATGCTCTCCATCAGGGAAGCAGAGTCTTTAGTTGAATGGGGTTGGGCAGGGCTTGGTAGCAAGTCATGGGCCTGGCTTTAGCAGGGCAGACTGTCCTAGGAAGGAAGCTCGAAGGTTGTTGCTTCTGTACAGTGCTCATTCCCCTCTGGTTTAGCAGCCACAGCTAAACCAAGGACAATCAGGAGGACACAGCTGAGCTGCTCTTCCATCTTGGCCCCCAGCTTTGGTCTATCCCTTTCACTTACTCTACCCAACCTGGCACCACAGCCTGTGATACTGGCTTTGTTAAAGGGATCTGTAGGATCATGACTCTGTCTCTGTATGAAGCCATTCTTACTTCCCAAATACCATTGAGTTTTTCTCCTTAACAGTTCTGGAATCTGTCTCCTTTTCCCTTTCATCCTTCTTCCCATTTATGCCTTCCTCCCTTTTTTCTCATCCTTTCCTTAGCATTTTCTTTTGGTATATTCTTATTACAAATATGAGTCCATTTAGGTATAAAGAGGTATAACAAAGAAAATAAAAAGTATTTGTCATTTCACCATTCAGAGATTGTGGCTACTAAGATTCTGATGTATATCCTTTCGATCTTGTGTGTTGTGTGAGTGCTACAAAATTGGAACCTACTGTATACGTGATTTTACTATTTCTTTCACTTTCTCCTGTGTTGCCAGCTTTCTTTTAGTCGGTACTTCCTCTTTATGATTGTCATGTCAGTATTTCTACTTATCCTTGCATCTGGGAAGAATTCCAACATGTAGCTTTACCTAGATTTATGGTTGCTCATATTAAGAAAAAAAAAAAGAACAAAACCCAAAAAACACTTCTTAGTGAAGTTCTTCCCCTTTCCTATCCCCACTGAGCTAAGATAACTCCTTTTTCAGGCCTGCACCACCATAGAAATCTCTTAACTGGTCAACCACAAGATGTCTTCCTCTACCATTCACTCACTTCTGCCAAGTGAAATGCAATCCTGACCATGTCTTTCTTTGGCTTTAACCTTCAGTGCCACACCCATGCCATGCCCATTAGAATGTAGGTTACTTTTCTGACTCAGATACATATTTTTTTCTACTGGCTCTTTTCTGGCCTCTCCAGACTCCTTTCTAGATTAGTCCCTCCCCCTACCTTCAGCTGAGGTCTTTCCAATTCTCACACCTCTGAGTCTTTGCTCAATCCTTTTATTTCTGTCTGGAATACCTTTCCCCTTTGTTTGCATGACAAAACGCATGTGACCTTTAAAATTCAATCAGAAGGAGCCAACAGGTGGTGGTGAAGGTGGTGAAGGCACTGGACTTCCACATGGTGTATCATGTTTCAAGTCCTGGACCTGGCAGCTTACTTTCTCACGTTCCCTTTCTCTCTCTCAGTCTCTCTTTGGTCACATTTTTAAAAATAATAATAATTACAAATAAAATTGAATAAATTAATAATCAGAAAATAAATAAATAAATAAATAATACAACCGAGGCAGAGCCAGTCTATGGGATGGTGATTAGGGTGGCTGGATCCTATATGACCAACCTCATAGTTTGAGTCTCAGATCTGGTGGCTTGAGAAACATGCCAGGTATATGTGTGTGTGCATGTCTAAAATCCCAAAAGGAGAGAGAAATCCCAAAAGGAAGAGAAGGAATTGCAGCATAACCATCCTTCATGGAGGGGTGGGGTGTTTCTTACTTCCCCTCTTTCTCTCTTTGCCTGTCTGTTTCTGGTAATGTGAGCACCCTTCGGCAAAATTTTTAAAAAATTAAAATTCAACCCAGGCAGTACCACCACTTAGAGATGTCTGAAAATTCTTTGTTTCACCTCTGCCTTCCCATTGGAATAAGATCTCAAGGTCCCTAGATTGAGAAATTTCACCTAACCCACTATGTCTTTTTCAAAATGACTTCTTATGTTTTCTCCCTTAACTACAGGAGTTAAACCTTGATCCCAAGCATCTCATACATAGTGAATATCATGAAATACTCCTGAATAGCACTACTCTTGTATAGTCATTCTGGTTCA